TGAGCAAGCGGCAAACCAAAGTGGTTGGTTGGCCAGTCCCAAAGTTATACTTCCTTTAATCCAAGCAGCTTTGGCCTGTTGTACATAAGAATTTGTGGTTGTAGTGCGTTGAATCAGCGTTCATAAATTGTATGGCGTAGCTATTTTCTATACTCATTCGAATATTGTGCACTTACATTGGTAGCAGGATTCAAGTAAGTTTCAATACTCATGATGTTTTCAGCAGGTGGCCTTGGAAGCAATGCAGCAGGGTCTGTAAATGCTCTGGCTATAATGAGATTGTCAATATCCAGCCTATTTTGTATGTACCTGCGCACAAAATAATGTAGAAACCATGTGGTCACATCAGCTTTATATGATTTTGTTTTTTCTTACTATGCAATTGAATCATACCACTGCTTTAGATCATTTGCCTCGGGTGTCGGTGGATTTATGAGAAGTGCACTTGTTGATTTGGTGGAGAGTGAGATTCCTGGCCAAAGGTAATACCTTAAGGTTAGTGTGTTGCGAAGTATATATTATGAAAGAATAAACAATAAAACACGCACGGACCATTGAAAGTTGTGACCCGAACACGCATTGCAATGATTACGTTTCCTGCGTTGATACCAGTTGCAAGTTGTTGACCTTCAGTGGTAGCGAACTCATTCCAAAGGGTTAAAATCATAGGCATGTTCCTGATATTTAGTAAATATACATTAAAACTATTTTTTTTACATTTAAATTAACTTGGGGAATAAACAATAATACAACTCACTCAGTGTTCACAATCACGATGTCTCTCATGATTGAATCAAAGCCCCTTTGTTTTTGTTCAAATGCATGAACAACAACTCCCAGAATATCTGTATATAAAAATAGCAGCAAAAGATGATGTAAATTATTTCAAGTGAAATAAGCTTCCTTGCAAAATCTTTTATTCAGTTGTGTAAGTGTAATACACCAGAACACTTACTGAATGTAATATATGTGAAAATAAAAGTAGTGCAAGAAAATGAATGATCCATAGGAATTAACACAAAGAAGCATAGGACACCAAAGCGAGAGTTTAAATTATAGCCCACGTGTAAAGGACCTCATGTGTTTACAATACAAAATCTTCCATATGACTTGATAATTATAAGCTAAATTGAAAGTGCAAGATATGAAATATAAAAAATTATTTTCACATAATAACATATTAAGTATACGGGGGACATCTCCACACCAAGTCATTCAACCTATTTTTCACAGTTTCTGAACAACATTAGGCACCTAAGTTTCATATGATGGCAATCCAATAAAATTACAGAATTTGACAATCAGGAATCAGAGATTGAGATATTTATCTAAACATTATCTAAAATATTAGATTATAGAAACACAATAACGAAGTGATCACATAATGAAGTACCTCAGCAGACGGAAAAAAGCACATAATAAAGGACGATTAAATCAAAAAACATGAATTATGCGTACAAAATTAACACAAATATTTACAATAGATTAACACGCTTACTCTGTAAGTTTTCCGAGTCCGCATAGCGGTGTAAGTTTGCGAATCTTTCAGTGTCTATATGGCAATAGAGGTGGGTCGGGACAACATCATCACAAGGCTGAATGAGTGTATTGTTGTTGATGGTCCAAGAAAAGTCATATGGTCCCACCCTATATTTGTCATCAACTTTCTTTAGACTGGCACCAGAGATACGATATATCTTGAATGGGATCAAGAGATTAGCACCGGCCCTTATGTTATTGTTATAAGCAACAGCTGAAACATTAGTGCCCTGTTGTAAAAACGATAAATTTAGTTTCAGTAACCCATGAATTAGTTAGCAAATATTTTAAAGTTAGCCTCAAATGTTGTTAAACGTACGAAGTGTAAAGGCCCAAATATTACCTCAGCATCACAGAAGAGGAACCTGCGGTAAGAGACGGAAGTATCTTTTTGGCTTACAAGGATATGACCTCGTTCAATGACTTGTACGACGACTGTCCATCCTCTAATGCGTGGTTGAACTTGATTGACGCTCAATGTTTTCCTCATGCTTAGATTATTTGCTGCACACATTGTAATTTATCAAAGAAATTAGCAAAATTACTTGGCATATAGAACCTACAACAAGGATGGCATTTAACATACGATTGAGTAGCAGGAAGAAAGCATCAATTTATACCCCATCATACTGTTGCTTTTTTGGCCAAAAGAATGGACCACAATCAGTTAATCAAATTGTTTGGTATACATGTTACAGCCATATGCAAACACACACAAAAAAAAAAATAAAATAAAAATAAAATTCCTTGGAAAAGCATGCTATTTAAGATATAAATGTCCACATGTACAGTATCTTGAAGGCCTAAAATAGAACCCAAATCTAATAGAAATTAATTGCACATATATTTATAACAGTTTCGTGGATTGTATGTTAGTGTAAGAGCAAACAACAAATTCTCAGGCATAAATGCAGGTAAAGCGAATTATATGACTGCCCATTCACAAGAAACCAATAATCTTACTAAGGAGTAAGTGTATACATTAAAAGTGTAAGAATAACAAAGTAGATGCAATACAATTTACTGCTATAGATTTAGTGTACTGTGGCCTTGGTGATTTCAAGGGCGAACTTGAAGATTTTTATAGACGGGAGTAAAGAGTATGGACCTACATAGTTAATTATTAAAAAAATAAAAATGTTTGAAATAGAAATATATTTAAAAAGGTAAAAAGCTCGAAAATAAGATGACTTCAGATTGGAAATGTGAGAAAAAAAGGTACAGAGATTTACCAACCAAATCTTCAAAATCTGCTCCTGGTTCAGTTTTTTAAAATCGGTAAGGTTGGTTGATTGATTTACAAGATATTGTTGAAAAAAGCAGTAAATTATGGAGAGAGATGTACAGAGGGCTTGATTTTGATGAAGCTGTTGAAAAAAAGGTACAGAGATCTACCAACTAAACCTTCCTAATCGGTAAGGGCTTGATTTTGATGAAGCTGTTGAAAAGAACCCTAAATTATGGAGAGAGCTGCAGAGGTTGCGTGGAGGTTTGACCCATCGGCAGCGGATCGAAATTGCACCCATCACGTTGGCGTCCAGAGGCGGCATGGGCGAGGCGGAAATTTAGGAATTCATTATGATTGCGGCTAGAAAATAGGACAGTAAATCTGTAATAACAGCTATGGGCCGAAATTGAGGATCGGAGTTTTGGGAATTTATTTGAAATTGTAAATTGAAAGAGTTGTGTGCTGTGCCCAAGTACTATTATATTTGAGAAAAAAAAAGCTAATCTATTTTATGTGGCTGATATAATTCTTAGATGGGCTTTACCTTTATGTTAGTTCACAAATGAATAAATAAGTTAAGTCATTAATCTTTCTCCATGGTGAGATAGTTGAGTAGGTTTTATAACATGTACAAAAAATGCAAAACCTTATAATTTTGTTAATTGTAGATTAGCACTTGAGTAAATATAGAATTTATATGAGATTTTTTTTTTTTGGTTGATTTTGTATTAGTTTCTATCATATATTTTAATTAACTTTTAAAAAGCATAGTGAAGATGTAAATTGAGCAAAGCTACCTATGATTGCCTAATTCTTTTTTGGTACAATTTCAATGCTTTAACGGTACTTTTAAAAAATTTCAATCAGTAATTTATTATTTTGGTTACGTATGTATAATTTCTAAAATCCAACGTTAAGCTATTTAAAATTTGTAACTATTAATTTGTTTATTAAATATGTTATAAATTGTCTTTAAGTTACTTTGTACATACTAACATCATCATAATTTTTTGGCTCCTTTTTTTCCCAAACTGCAAGGCAATGCAACATGAACAAACATTATTTTGGTTCAGGACTATGAAAAGATGACTATTGACTGCCTCCCTTTGTTTAATAAAAAATAGGCAAATTTTCAGCTATCAGAAGATCCTGAAAATAATAAAAAAATACAATCTATAAACAAATAATTACATTTGTATTTAATAGACAAAATATAATTGCATTAATGTATGAAGTCAATTTCCTCTCCTTGGGGTGTTGGGTTATGTAACTTGTTGATTGTAATTACTGTACTTTCTCTCAGCTATAATACATATCGTTTTGAAAAAAAAAAAAGATAAAGAAATGAAAAACATGAATGTAATATATAACTAATTCCATTCATTTTTTAAGTTGGGAATTTGTATTGTTTTTTGTATACGGTGTTTAACTAAGTTGTTTAAATAAAGTGTTTTTTAAAGTTGTTTAAATAAAGTGTTTTTTAAAGTTGTTTAACCAAGTTGGTTATCATATGGTTGTATAGTAGGTTTGTGTTACTAATTTCTGATTGTTTGAAGATTAGTTTCCCCAAGCGGTGGGTAGGGATTTATCGCTCCCAATTGCTGAACCAGGTCACTTAAATTGGAGCTTCTATAAAGACAGTGTTAAGTGAATTATATTAAGCTACAACCTTCTGAATTTATTCTATCGGCATGTTGTTCCCATTTGTCAGTCAAAATTTGTGTAGGTGTTAGTATACCAATCCGTGTGACTGAACAAACACTACAATCAAACCATTATCTGCACATTAATGCATCAACATAGTCCTTCTCCACAACTATTTAGCCAACAACCTTTAATAGAAACCAAAATGTTACAAGATACGTCCACAATGCGCGAAACATAAGATGACATAAAACCAAAAGTATGATTTTGCAACCAGATTCTAATGGAATGATTATCCAAACAGCATTACCAATTAAATTAAAAGCGTAAAGAGGTCGTAAGTTTTAAAGACAATCGAAGAATAGATTAAACTCTGTGGCACTAAATCAAGAACTTCTTAATTTGGAAATTCACTGGTTCACTCGAGATGCATGGGGCGCAAAATCTGAGGCTGTAGACAGACCCCTCAATAAGGGATTGTCATCAACGAAGTCGTAGCCGTCACGAGTTATTGTCGTGTCCTTCAATCGCAGGAGGCACATATTTTTCCTCGCCAAGTCTAACGTTTGCCCGAGAGGAATCGCTAAAGTGATACTCGATGTGGCCTGTACAAAAGTGCATTGGAATTTACTGCATGCATAAGACTTTGATGTCGTGCTATCTCTATGTCCCAAATAAATACAAATAACATGTGGTCTGTGTTTGCCAAAAAAACTGGAAGCAAAAAAAATTACTAAGTGTGCTCGGTTAACGCGTGTTTCTTTATTTCCAAATTCAAAGAGTATCGCAGCACTTGAATTAAACTGGGTGTTTCCACGACGGTAGCCTTAAAATGAAAAAGGCTCTTACTTGTGAACACCAAAATGGACCCTAATGAAAAGGACGACGACAAAAAGTCGATACATTTGTGATGCTTGTATAGCCAGGAGTGAATTTCAATCAGTAATAAAGACAGACATAAGTACAACTCAAAAAACCAACAGAATTAATTACATAAATGAGCAGTGCAAAAAGTTTTTATGCTAACGTGTTTATCACAAGCACTGAAATAAGTAGCGATAAAAAAGCAGCAATTAAAATAATGTGTTTTTTGAAGTTGTTTAACCAATGTAGTACATACGTGTGACAAACCCAAACTTGATGTTCATGTAATGAAATAATTAGGCGAACTATTCATGTCCCACTAATGAGTCCATGGTATTCAGCAGACCCGAAAATTAAAGCAATAAACTAAATGAAGGTGTAAAATAGGCATTTTGTACCTGTCATGATCATTGTATCTGGAGGGTGGACGACACTATAGTTGTTCTCAAATGCAAAGCACTATATGAATCATCCATTTCAGATGTGCGAGTACGATTTGCAGCACAAAATGGGCACCTGTGTAATAAAAAATCAGGTATACTGGCCAGGCTAACTCCAAAGCATATAGATTGTAAGCAAAAGACTTAAAATAATCAAACAACAGAGAAGCTATACGGGCAGCACTCTAAAGCGTCTGTAGTTGGCGTATTGTGCAGTCTTAACGATGTAGCATACAGCAAGTCTGCATAGGGAAAAATAAATAAATAATCAATAACGCCACTGGAACGGTTCACAAAGAAGTAGACTTTTGAAAAAATCCATGAAACAAAAGCAGAACCCAGAGGAAAATATTGTGCACACAAACCTCAATAGAGCGAAAGAAAGAAAACATAGTTTTTTTTTTCAGCAAGCATTACTGCTAAATAACATAAAAGCTAAGGAGTCAAAATTACCGAAATAGTAAACAGTTTGAGCGTACAATTTGAGGCGTTCTTACTCAATAAAGGGCTTGCGGAAAGATTACTGGTTCTGGATGATATTTGCAGCCTCAAGCACTTCCTTATATACTATATTTTGCGTGAAATTAAGCAGATTTACATCACCAAAAGGAGGCTTTATGAGCATCTTAACCGATGTAGCTTTTTTTGCTCTAGACAAAGCAACGTAAAGTTGCCCATGTGCAAAAACAGGTTCTCTCAAATAGATACCGACATGGTCTAGCGTCTGGCCCTGGGCTTTATTTATTGTCATTGCAAAGCAAAGTCTGAGTGGAAATTGTGTTCGTATATATGGAACAGGGTACTGTTCATCTTCAGGTGGCTCAAAGGGAATTCGGTGTATGAAAACATCCTTTCCCGCAAAGTCTCCTACTGCTATCTGTGCATGTATTACATTTTTGCTCATTTTTTTACACAACAACCTTGTACCATTACACAGCCCCTCAGTAGGATCTAAATTACGAAGTAAAATTACTGGTGCATTTACTTTCAGCTGTAGGCTATGCTCCGGCAAACCACTTGGCGTGAGGGAATTGATGAGGTCACCATATTCCGCGTCATGTGCTGGATTGACAACCTTATCAAAACTTAGGTACTCCACCAACTCACCAGGAAAAGTCGCTATGAGTTTTCTATTGAGTTCATCGACAAATACATTTTTTGTTGTTAAAATTGCTCGATTAACTGTTAAATTACTGGCACATGCATTCATAATATCAGGATAAACAGTATTGATGAGGCCATCTAATGAGGACTCGTGCAATGGATCATCCAATGCAAGGGATTCCGGTATCTTTATTAACTCGTCATCAAAAGTTTTTTCCTCACCATTTCCAACTCTCAACAAAAAAGCTGTATAAAGAGGATCTAAACGTGCACGCATGTTTTCAACAAGACGAAGTTTCTCCAAACATGGCCATAGATCAGAGCTAGTAATGCATGCAGCTATGGTGTCCTTTCTATTGCCGCGTCTAATAACCGGCAACACCTGTCTAAAATCACCACCAAATACCACAACTTTTCCACCAAAAATAGCATCAGATCCACACAAATCTTGCAAAGCATCATCTAGCGCTTCAATAGCTTCTCTTTTTGCCATGGGGGCCTCATCCCAAACAATGAGTTTGCTCTCTCTAACCAAACAACCTAGGCTGCTCTGCTTGCTTATTCTGCATGTCTTTAAAGCGGACAAATCAATGGGAATTTTAAACCTAGAATGAGCTGTCCTGCCACCCGGCAATATGGATGCAGCGATTCCAGAGGTTGCTGTTGCTAACGCTATATTACCTCTAGAACGGATGGTTGCCAATAAAGCCCTATAAAGGAATGATTTACCAGTTCCACCAGGGCCATCAATAAAGAAAGCGCCTTTTTGTTTACTATCAATGCGTGCTATTATTATATCATATGCTTTCTTTTGTTCTTTGTTAAGCATGGAAACAGTATTTAGCTCCTCCTCAGACACCACAATATTTTTCTCTGCAGTAATTTCTCTAGTGTTACGTTCACGTAAGAATTCAGTATTTGTAGGCATCAGATTAAATTCGCGCAAATTTCTACCCATTGATTCCAGGAAACCGTTAATTTGAAATAAAACTCGGTTTCTAACCTCTTCTGCAGACAGCTCATTATTCGCATTAAGATCTTCGGACATAGCTTGCTGGAACTTGAGCCACAGGGCCTTAGGATCAGAGGGGCCCGAGTATACCAACAAATTAGCAAACAAGCGACGTAGCTCATAAGGCATTTGATACCCAGACGCTTCCCGCAAGCACATCTCCTGGCTATTGTCATCTTCAAGCAAGCCACGCATGAGCGCCGCTTCTCGAAAGGTTGCAGCCATTTTCCCATTGAAGCACCTGAGATCATTAAACGACTTAGGACAACGCACTTTAGACAATAAAATACGTAGATAATACCTTTCTCCCTCACTAACATGCACAGACATCAAACGGCCTATTGATTTTTGTTTTCCTCTTCTTTTCCAACGTTTTTCTTCAGCCAACCAAACAAAATATTCTGGGAATTCTAGATACGTGAGGTTCAAAGCCTGTGCGGACTCATCAACACGATTCATGTAAAAAAATTCCGTGAGCATAGTTTTTCTGTTCTGAGGGTTAGCAACAATTCTCTCTAACCTATCCTTTTTCCTAAACGAAATTCGCTGATAATTCTCAAGGTGAATCTGCAAATGTATGACAGCTGGTTTGATTTCCCCCATGTAGAACTTAAAAATACGCCATGCAGCTTCTGGTGGAGACACCCACCGTGCAGTCCTATATCATTCTATTTCATCTATTTCCTGGAGAGGATTCCTAGCATCAACATGAAATGCAATCCTATCATGTCCCTTGCAAACGTATTTATAAATATATTTCACTGCCTGTATTGTAGAGCACACCTCAATGTTAATGTGGCAATTAAATTTTGCAAGAAGGTATGGGTTATATGGAATTACCCATCTATTATCTAATTCATGTCCCCTAACCCTAACACGAACATTATTTTGCCTTCGTCTGTACCTAGGATATGCATCGTTAACGTGTGTAGTCTCATCACTGAATTCTTTAGGGAAAAAGTTTTTACACGTTTTGTTTTTTTTCATGCATGGGTTTTCAGGGTTCATCTCACCACAAGGGCCATGCAACATATGCTTCACGACAAGAGCAAATAAATGCGGATTTTTTTGCCTGTCTGGAATTTCGGCGCTGACAATTTTGTCGTATTCATCAGGCGTGTACATCTTAAAATGTGAGTGCAAAATGAGAAGGAAGTGCGCATGCGGCAAACCCCTTTTTTGAAATTCAATTGTATATGTGTACGCAGCAACTTCACCAAATAAGTGTTTTTTAAAGAGGTCGTTCTTCAATTCCTCTAGTTTAGCCCTAAAAACCCTTGCTATGATATCAGGCCTATTGTGAGATTCATCTGTTCCACGTAGCAATGCCTTGATTTCTGGCCAATTTGGATTACATGTCATTGTTAGAAAAATATCGGGCCTACCAAACTTTTGAACTAACGTCATTGCATCCATGTATCTCCTCTTCATATTCCTTGGGCCACCAATAAAACCAGACGGAAGGTAAATTCGTTGTCCTATCATACCTGCATCTGTTTCACCAGCTGCAAATGAATCTTGAACTCCTTGGAGCACCTCATTCCTTATCTCTATTTGTTGTGTTTTATAAAAATCCAATCTTTGCGTTTCTATTTTGACATACATGTCAACTATATATTGTTGAAACAGCCTTCCAAAGTGCAACAAAAAAGAATCATCACATTGGCGTACCTGTAGCTTATAGCAATAATAATCTCTCGCAGACACGAACCGCTGTTCATCAATCTTGGCAGAGGCAGCTGATTACGCGAAAGATTTATAAATCAGCAAACACATCTGTCAAAGACAACAACAGCATGATTTATAAAAAATAACAAACTCACCAGTCTCTTCACGAAACAGCAAATCATCAGCGTCTATTGCACCAGCTGGGACAACTGAACGAACAGAGCTGCATCGTTGGTTCGGCCTTGCAGGAGCCGCCACCCCTATCTTTTCTATTCCCTGATGCCAGCCCACCTGGCCAAAAGGAAAAAGAAGAGGATACTGTAAGGGATCATAACAACCATAATAGTATTGGATGCTATGCGAACCTCCCGCCACACTGCTAACACGAATGTCCCTGTGGCTCGACTCCTCACTCCCCTCACCATCAACTATCAACACAGCCACCTCATGTTCATTTGGCTGATTATACACCCTTTGATCCAAGCCAGGCACGGATCGCAATACAACCTGACAATCATCAAAATGTGCCATTTTTTGCAGTCTACGAAAGAACTTTGCGTACGGATTACTTTCCAACACTCTCATTATCTTAACAGTCATACTTTCAGTCAGCTTTGAACATGCATCAAGTCTATTAGCAACTTCATGTTCAGTGTCATGAAAATAAAGCTGTAGATTTTTCGATGATTCCAAATCATTTATAAAATGGTACATCTGGCCTTGAATTCGAAACGTATAAATGCCTTTGTTGCGTTTGCTAAGTTCTTTATCATATCGAACACCCAAAGACGTAAATGCAAATTGGTTGTTTATTGTTCTTATGCAATCCTTGAAAATCTTTCCCTCACATGTCTGGGCCAACAAAAGTTCTTTCAAAATTACAGGTAACGAATGACTTACCAGTCTAATCTTACCTTCAGCACAACAAAATTTAGGTGTTTCAAACTGTAATCTCAAAGTGCCACAGTGAAGGCAATCACTCCGCGACCGTAGAGTCGCAGCTACCATAGGTAAGTTAAGAAGCATGTGGCGCCCATCTCTGTACCCACGACCTGTATGCAAAGAGAATTGGAAGGGAAAAATAATCTACCACTCGTCAAAACCAAATAACACCATAATACACACGAAAGAGAGAGCAGCAAACCTGAGGCACGACCCCGTCTGGAGGAGTGATTCTGACCTGTAGAGAGGCCTACGACAACAGAAGAGGCACACAAAGTTAAAAAATTCAATCCCACATGCACAAAATGTAATTAAACAGGAAAAACCCACTGACAACTTGAAAGAACCCACCGCGATCATTCACCAAACGCACATTTGGCACGAAAGGCATGGGAGGAAAACCTGTAACCAAACCACAAAATGATACATTCCATGAAATAAACAGGCCAAAGAAACGCGGCAGAATTTTGTGCAACAACAAACCCAAACAGCACCCTAAAGTCCAATTTGTTTCACACGCAAAGGCACACCTGACGTCTGTTCGGATGGAAGACCAGTACTGGGAGCCACGGGTAGACCGTTCGATCTTAAGTTGGCCGAGCGGCAGAGCACGCACTGTACGTCGACGAAGCAGACTTAGCCATCCGCCTTTTCTTGGCCCTCCAATTATTAAGAGAAGATTGCCGTCTGTCCATGGCCGACCCAGAAGGCTCAGTACCTCCTGATCGATGCACATGTTCCATATTCTCGTTCTATAACAAAGTAATTACTGCATACAATCGAAAAGAACAATTAAGACAGAACATGAAGGGTTAAAAAAAAAAGGCTTCAGTAGACATAACATGACGACATCCATCCCTCAGAAACCATAAAAAAATAGACCTCACTCTTGTAACAACACAACATGCACAAAAAAAGAAAGAAATAAAAAGAGAAAATACGGGCCAGCCGAAACACCGTGTAACGTGCTGCAATCTACAATCAACAGTCCATACAGACCCAATAAAACAGTCCACACAGACTGAAGAAAACACAAATTGCAAATTAAAACAACTAACCATTAGCCAAATTTTTCACTATGGGTGATTGGTGGAAAAGAACCAGTCAGTCTCACCAAGTTCAGGAGCAATAGACTTTGTAAATTCTGTAACCAGTCACTGAAACTTGTACTCTGGGAAAAGTTGGGAAACAAAAAGGCAATCAATTATTTGGAATCTCAATGACAGAGGGATAAGACCCTAAAGATCCTGGCTCATTTGAACACATGCACTCTGCATCTACTCCATTTCAACCTTTGTAAAATACAAGGATAAAGGAACAGTCCGAACATTAGCCCACAACACATACGGCACAGACAATTACCAAACACATCTCCAATAACAATACATTCGAAACACAAATAGGCACTAAATTTTTTTCTTTCAAAAAAAAATTAACATAACAAAGGCAGACACCAGAACACGACCAATGCATACCTTCTCCAGAACACAATTATGTTTTAAAAAAATTAAAAAGCAAGGAAATTTAGCCGAGCCCAGACCCAAAACGCAGCCTCCCCACAAATAATAATAAAAAAAAAGTTAGAATCCCGCAATCAATCTAACAAAATCGAAAGTGAAAATCAATCAGTTGAGCGTTTTCACAAGGAGCCGTAATTTGTAATCGAAAAGACTGAAACAAACAATATTTCAGAGGAAAAATGTACCAATAAAATTAGGAAAATGACTCAAAAATGACCTAACGCGTCAGCACCATATGCACCTTCGCCGCTGATCATGTAGTTCGATTTCAACCCTGCCTCCATTTCGTTCGATCTGAACAACACCGACCGATCTACAGTCGAATGGGTGTAGAGAAAAGGGTTTTTTTTTTTTTGCTGAGAGAGGTTTTTCGTAAAATAAGCTTGAAAAATGAGAAGAATTGAGTTGCTTGTTGGGTGCGAGAAAGCCTTCTTCACTAAGCATTGTAAGACAACTCGCACGTCGCACCAGAATTTCCGGGAGGAAATCCCGCAAAAGGAAAGAAAAGATGTAGTGGCATGATCTGTAAAAAGAGTTTAAAGGCAATGACATTTATGTCCGAAAAAAATTGACACGTGTCAGGCTCCTAACACCTTACATTTTTGCTTATATGTAAGGGGATATAAGGTTGAAAAAATAGATTTAAAATTGTTCACCACGTGCATTGAATGGAAAGGGCAATTAAGGGCTTTAAAAAAAAAAAAAACCCTATGGGTGGGTGGCATAAAGTTTTCCGCCTCCATCTCCCCTTATCTCATTCTCATCCCTAATTACAACCCATCAGATCCTTGGATACTTGTTCTTCCTTTTCATCCGAAGGGAAGGGAAGGGAAGGGATGGCGGATTTATTTATTCCTTTTTCATCCAGGGATTAGGAAATGCTAATTTATTTATTTATGTATCGGGAGATCATTAATTGATCGAGTATCGACCGGATCATCCCCCAACCAAACTGATTATATTTATTTGTTAGATTATATTTTTGTAGGGAGTTGGTTGAGCTATGAGGCCACGTCTACCCAAGTTTGATATCCCACCGCCTCGTCGACGGCCAGGCAAAGAAGAATTGAATACGGAGGAGGTTGCACCCTTCAAATTCCTGGTTCCACCCGTTGACCAGGTTAGGTTACATATATATATATATATATATATATATAGAGAGAGAGAGAGAGAGAGAGAGAGAGAGAATCTCTCTATTCTATTAATCTGTAAATTCACAAGTATTTCCATGTAGATTTATTATTGTTTAGGTTAAAATGATATCCCATTTTTGTGTTTTTTCTCTGTTGATGAAACATGGGAAGAATAATTTGCAGACAATCCGCACTTTCTACCCGAGGAGGTGTAAAAGAAAGAGGGTAACATCAGACATAGAATCTCTACCTGATGAGCTGTTGTTTGAAGTCCTTGTGCGCATCCCTGGCCAAGATATTTACGAGGCAAGGCTTGTTTGCCGCAAATGGTACCATATAATTCACACCCATAATTTCATGTCCGCCTACTTACACCACTCCCCTTATGGTCTCCTATTCAAATCCAAGTGTTCGGAATCACTTTTGGTCCTCCCTCAAAGAGGAAGGGGAGGAAGGATAGGGATCGAGATGACCCAGCTGAGGTACAAACGTAGGTGTTTGGTCTTTAGTAGTTGTAATGGATTGTGGTTAGAGAAAAATCTGCAAAGCGAAAATGACCTTTACGTCACAAATCCCACAACGGGGCAAAATTTTCTTCTCCCTCCATGTGTTATTCATGTTGCTGATGCAAATCATGCAATGGCGTACACACCGGCTTCCATGGAGTATAAAGTGGTTATATTCTGTCCTCCTAATAAAACCTTTCGCCCGGTTTGTCATATATTAACCGCTGGAGTTGATAAAACATGGAGGGACGTTGATTTGGGACCCATATCATCGGAGGAGGCAAGTAGGTCATTTCGCAACCCTCCGTTGGTTACTGAAGGTTTCGTTCATTGGAAACATCCCCGTACCCACCATCTCTTGACTCTTAATGTGGAGACCGAAACTATTACAGAGACTCCCGCCCCTTTCCCACAGCTACAAGACTTTCCTGTTCATGCTAGTCGAACCGACATTTACTTATCAACCGGAAAATATCTGTCGTTATTGCGTCCTTACGGGGAGTGCTCGTGGCAGGTCTGGGAGATGAGTCGACCCGAAACAGGGGAATGGAAAAAGAAGGCCCATTTTTCATTGGAGGGTAACGAGGAAAGATTCAAGCAATTAGGTTTTGCACCCAAAGAATTTTTGTTCCCGCAAGGCTGGGTCAAGTACCCAGAGTTGTTGGCCATGAGAACTTCCTCGAAAATGACTGCATTATTGCTATACAATCTTGTCACGCAAGAAATCAATGAAATCGGGTTACCTTCCTACTATTTTCAATACAATTTTGTGGTATATAAGAGTAGTTTGGAGTGGTTGGATGCAGTCAAGCCTCCTCTCCCTCCATCTTCTCCATTGCCTTCCTCCACTGGTATCTAAATGTGTATTATAACTCTGTGTCGTACCTTTTTAATGCGGTCGAATATCTATTATTGGGGAATTTATGCTATGAAAACTTTCGTTTCTTTTACCCTTTCTATCTTTCTTTTGAATGTTGGATTATGATAATGAGTTTGTTTGTTTTGGATTCAGATTTGAAGCTTCATTTTCTTTTCTTTTTTTTTTACTTCGGAACTTACCTGGATTTAATGAATGATATTTTTTCTGGCCTGTCTCAACACAACGAACTTTCATTCCCTATCGTTGATTGCAATTTCGGTTTCCAGTAGCAATGACATTTTGATTTACTGATCCTCAAACTACAATGCGGACCCATAGACATGGGTGATGGTTATCATTCTTATTTAATTCTCTAGATTACTATTCATCCTGAACCAGGTTTATCTTGTTAAGAACTAGTGTGTGGCCCATGCATTGCTCGGAAATACAATCGTATTACGATTGTGTTATAAATTAAATATACAAATAAATTAATCACGATTTACCAATCGTTTTTAAATTAAACCGTGTTGTACACAATCTAATCGGATGGATGGAGAACTGATTTATAATCAGTCTAGTTCGCTTGGATAAAATATTTGCTATTGAATTCGTCAACACCATTAGGATCGATACGATTTTTTAAATAAATTTTTGCTATATTTAAAATTATTTTAAATAAAATAGAGATTTATCAATTAGTTTAAACATTTGAATGTTTAAATTGTTTAGACATTTAAGTAAGACATTTTATTTGAATTTACAAAATATATATATAGGGGTGGATGAAATGCGGCCAACTCTTAAAATGCGGACAACTTTTAGCAACTACATACAACTAACATAGCAACTACATAGAAATAACCTAGCAATTACAGAGAACTAACCTAGCAACTAGAGAGAATTAACCTAGCAACTACTAACCTAGACATGACCAGGTGCCGGTTCTCGGCCCGACCTGGCTCGACGAATATGGGCGAACCGGAACCGACCCGGTCAGAACGAAGGGCCGGTTCGACGAACCGGCCATGTACCGACGGGTCAGAAACCGCCAGTTTTCGGCCGGGTCCGGAACCGGTCCGGTCCGGCGGTTCCCGGTTTTTTTTTTTAAATTTATGTATATGTTAATATTTATATTAAATACATGGTCATTTTTTTAATTTATGTATATATATTTATTTATACATGACATTAAATATAAAATTACAATACGTATTTGTAATTGGGAATCAAAGTCAACGTAATTCTTTACAAAACGTATCGAATATTATGCATTTATTTCTTAGACTTGTGCTTACAAATTTGTTAACAAATCATTGGAAGTTTGGAACTAATGAATAGGGGGATGAAATTAATGTGAAGTGTTGATGACTCGAACGTGAGCTTAACATTACGCTATTTTGCAATCATTTTGTCGAACTTGAGTAAGAATTAAGATGATAAGAACGTATGTAAGAGTTCTATTGTTTTGTGCTATCGCAGACGTAATTTATATTTCAAATCATAATACATAATAAAGACTATTGACATCACATAACAGTTGTAAATGTCATGAATGTTTCAACATCAACTTCATTTCAGACAATGATATCTTGTCAATATTCTTGTTTATGTATTATGATTCGAACTATAAATTTCGTCTGCGATAGCACAAACAATAGAACTCTTATATATACGTACTTATCATCTTAATTCTTATTCAGGTTCGACAAAATGATTGCAAAATAACGTAATATTAAGCTCACGTTCGAATCGTCAACACTTCACATTAATTTCATCCCCCTATTCATTAGTTTCAAACTTCCAGTGATTTGTGATAAAAAAAAATTGTACTTTTATTGTACGTCACATATGGACTTGGACTTAATTGACATCTCATAAATATCCGAGGATATAGTCAATTAAGGTGCCTACGTATCCCTCATATTGGGAATCAAAGTCCACGTAGTTCTGTTACAAAACGTCTCGAATATTATTGCTCAATTGTACGCGTATAAGAGAGTTTGAATCAATAATTTTTCTTTTCGGTTTGCTTATTAGTATCAAATTACAGATAATAACATGAGGGATGAATCGATTATCATGCGAATAAATAGAAACTTGAACACGAAGGAGGAAACCATTCAAATTTTTCAGTGTTGATGTCACTAGACGCTTTCAAAGAGGACGATAAGCTTATATTATAGGGCTTCAGTGGCTCAAGCCCTGCAAAATAAGCTTATCGTCCTCTTTGAAAACGCCTAGTGACATCAGCACTGATAAAGTTTTAGTGGCTTCATCGTTCCTGTCCAGGTTTTCATTTATTCGAACGTAACTGATTCATCATTCGTGTTATTCTTTGTAATTTGAAACTACTTTTGAACTTTGATACAAGATGATGCATTTACCCGAAAATAGTTAGTTTATCAGTATGTTGAGTTTCACCAGCCTCATAATACAATTCGACTGCAATACACAACCTCGAGCAATACCGTCGTTCTTTTTGCTAGTGGCCTACAACACGTTACTGAAGGGAACTTGTCCATGTTATCATCTTTGCCGTACAATATATTTATACCATCATCTCGCAGTAATTGTTTAGTGATAGTATAAACATATTGTGCAACAAAGATGATAACAAAGACACCTTCCATTAAATAACGTGTTTTTTATGACATTAAAAAAAATAGCGATATTACTCGGGACTGTGTATTGGAGTCGGATTGCATTATGAAGTTGATGAACCCCAGCATGAGAAATTAACTTATGTAAGGTTTTTGAAGGTGGATGAAAGGTTTCTTAAGTAATTATTTAAATATGGACTTGAGCGCCATTGACATTTAATAAATATCCTAGGACGGATATATAGTCAATTAAGGTGCCTATGTATCCCTAATATGGTGAATCAAAGTCCACGTAGTTCTTTTTGTGTGTAATATTGTGATTTTTTTAATAATTTATTGCAAAGTTACCGGTATATTATTTTGCATTAATTTGACGGACATTGACTCAGAATTCAGAGGATGACCAAGTCCGTGACAAAGTTCTCTTGTTTGTGCTATAACAGGTTTATAAGAGAATTCAAAACATAATACATAATGAAAAACTATTGACATGGCATCATCGGTGTCACTGATGTCAAACTTTTGATTTAATGTCGAACTCCAATAATGTGTTTGAGCAACAACCAGTAACAATGACCAGGAGAGAAAATCGTTATTCCCGTTGCACGTGAAAAAGAATTCAAATTTTCGGATCATCGTTATTGGTTGTTGCTAAAACAGATTATTTAAGTTCATCAGTAAATCAAAACATTGACATCAGTGACACCGATGACGTCACGCCACTAGTCTTCATTATGTATTATGTGTTGAACTTTCTTATAAACCTACTATAACACAAACAAGAGAACTCTGTCACGGACTTGGTCATCCTCTGAATTCGGAGTCAATGTCGTTAAATTAATACAAAGTAATATAACTTAAATGTTAGACATTTGTTTTATAAGCTATTTGTTTTTTTTATTACACATTTTTTTTACCTTGTGATTGTTTCAAACTACTGTGAAGTGCCGACGACTCGACTGCGGGCTTACCGTCGCATTATTTTGCGATCATTTATTCGAAATTGAGTTAGGATTCAAATGATAAGTAAGTATATATATATATATATATATATATATATATATATATATATGTGTGTGTGTGTGTGTGTGTGTGTTCTATTGTTTGTGGTATTGCAACCGTAATTTATCATTCAAATTATAATAATAATAAAGATTATTGACGTGACATCACAGTCGTACATGTCGTTAACGTTTGAACATGAACTTCATTTCGGAGACCATGTCAATATTCTTCATTATGTATTACAATTTGAAATTTAAATTTTGTCTGCAATGGCACAAACAACAAAACACTTATAGATACTTACTTAACATCCGAATTCTAGTCGCAAAATAACGCGATGGTAAGCCTGCGATCGAGTCCTCGGCACTTCACAGTAGTATGATACAACTATCCAGTAGTTTCATTCATTTGTGTATATGGACTTGAGCTTAACTGACATTTACTAAATCTTGAGAATATATGTCAATTAAGGTGCCTACATATCCCTTATATTGGGAATCAAAGTCTACGTAGTTCTTTTACAAAATGTCTCAAATATTAACCATTTTTTTTGAAGTTGAAGGTCACGATATCTAAAATTTTAGACATTTAGACACTTGTTTAAGGCATTGGTTTTTTTTTTAAAAAAACAATAACATCAATTACACCAATAATGTCACGCGCACAACCTCCATTGTGCATCATGTTTCCAAGTTCCAACTCCATCATAGGCCTGCAATAGAGCAATATATTGAAGACTATATATATTGCGATATTAGAGGCCTATAAAAGAGTTGGAACCATGAGTCCATGATACAAAATGATGATTGTGGATCGTGGCATTATTGGTGTGATTGATATTATTGCTTAATTTTTCAATGATGTTCTATAATCATTGATATTAATATTTTGAAAGATATTCTATAATTGAAACAGTTGAAGTTAGCACCGTTTACGGCGTACTTAAATGTGCAACTATCATACAACACTAAAAGAAAGCTACGGTCCTCATCCCCACACCACTTTAACAATTTGATACAAGAATCCAATTGTTTTTGTTGTGTGCGAAAAAAGGACCGTAACTTTCATGCAGTGTTGCATGATAGATGAACAGTTAAGCACGTCGTAAACGATGCGAACTTCGACTGTCACCGTTATACAAAATCATTCAAATAAACTACTCGACTGCAAGATTATATTTTTAACAAACATTGAGTCAAAATTTAGAGAATGACCCAGCCCGTGAGAAAGTTCTCTTGGTTGCGCTATAATAGTTTTGATAGAGAGTTCAAAACATAATAAATAATGAAAAACTATTGAAGTGGCATCATCGGTGTCACTGATGTCAAACTTTTGATTTTATGTCGAACTTCAAAAATCTATTTCAACAACAATCAGTAACAATAACCTGGA